TAAATTGCCTCTTCCTTCTCCCCAAAATAAATGCTCTTGTTTTTAAGATTGAGACGTTTATCCTCAAAAGACCATTAGGCAACATGTTAGATAACATGTTATCTGTTTTTGTTATTTCATGCTCGAAATGAGTAACATGGAAAATTATGACTGTTTGGGAAATGAATAAATGGGGACTGGTAGCAAGAGTAGGTGACGTCCACTCAGTATCTCGTGACGTCGATGTGATGTTAACTATGATGTAATAGTAATCACCCACCCAACCAACGGTTGTTTTCCTTTATAGGTGTATGACAAAGCATGCACAGCTGCAGCCACTCAACTCTGGATGGATTTGTCAAACATCCTAAGAAACATTCGCCTCACGATATTAGACAAAAACAACTCATCAATGCACTTGCCCTTTTGTCGCAAATGACCTTGCTCCGTTTTCTCTGACTGACTGAAGCTTGACATTTGGTCAATGCAGATGAGATCTTACTTAGGAATTACTGCTCATTTCATCCATGATTGTTCCTTGAAAACAGCCGTTCTAGCCTCCAAGCGCTTCTGTGGCCGACACACAGTACACAACAGTATGGAAGTGTATGAAGAAACTGTACAAATGTTTGACATAAAAAGTCTCAAACATAACAGACAATGCTGCGAATATGATATCAACATTTCCACTTCTTGGCTTCGCAGATCTTTGTGACAATAATATGGACTGTTCCGATTCTGAAGATAGAAATTAGAAGTGGATATGGACAGTATAGTCGAGAAAAATTACACGATGGAATCCCCAGTTGAGAACGTGATTAGATCACTGTTGAGTATTCCTGAACAAAAATTAAGCATCATAGATGGTGTGCCAAAAATGAGTATGTATGATTGTGATCTACTTAAGGACACGCTGGAAATATTTTAGCCATTTAAGGAGGTCACAGTTTTAATGCTATGATACCTTTGTTTTCTGCGTCTAATTAAGTTTTATGACTGATATGAGAAATATATGGATGGGCTTTTGCATTTGCAGCATAGGGAATATTAATTATTCAAGTTTCATGACTGATGGTTCTATAACTATGTGTCATAATTGTCTTGTTGTATGTAAAATGTCAGGAAATAATGATGTTTTATCTGCGTTTTGTTTCACACAGTCCTTGGTATTGTAATTTTATTACATTGCATTGATAAACACTAGTTAATAAATCTACTGATTTTCCTAAAGATTTAACTCAATCTTTGAACAGCAGTTGAATTGTATTAATAGTATTAATATCATCAAATTAAAATTCACTGATCAATTATATTTAAAGTTACACCATTAGTAACTAGAACAATTAAACACTTATTAATCTAGCATAATAAGTTTTGGTACTGAAGAATATTTAATAACAATTGTGGAATAGGGAAGCACAACATCTAGTGGCAGCGAGACGAATCAGTTAACTAAATGCTAATGGCTTCATAGTTGAAAATATTGCTTCGGCTCTAACAGATATATATATCAAATACAAGGTCTCTTGCATAGACAGGATTTTTTCATGATGCATCTCTTCATGTTGCATTGATCAATTACTCTTACATTTGGGATCATTTATATACATATAAATAGTAGGTGGAGCACCGTCCCATATCAGACCTGACTGCTCCGGCGATGTGCGAGCGGGAGAAGGTGCCCTCCCGACGCGCGTCGCTGATGTTGCTCGAGTAGTCTGTGTGAAAAAAGGGCATGTCGACAAGGGACGCAAAGAATACAAAACATTTACTTTGTAAAATGAGGAAACTTAGGCTTGAGCCACTGGGACTACTGGGAAAGCTTCATCCTGTAACGTTACCTCATCTCTCCCTACTTTATATAGCCATAGGAAAGGTAAGTGCCCCAAAAAAGCGCGTGGAGAAGACTCGATTTAGCTTGGTTTAGAGGTAAAATGGGGATTTGATTTTTAGTCCTCTGGAACGGGGTTCTGAAAGAAAATGGGGATTTGATTTTTAATGCTTTGGAAATAAGGTATGGGTAAAATAAAAAAGGGAAAAAAAACACTTTCTTCTGTCAACAATGAAGTTAACTTACTTGAAAATCATTTTGGAACATTCTATTACTAAGTGATTACAAAGTTGATTAAAGGGATAGATGCACTTCTGAGGTGTAATTTCGATCAGACACATCTTATTAATAAGAGCAATCCATGGTACAGAAATATAGCAGAATTATAGTATGCGATTAAATTGGGAGGAGATCCTCTCAGACACTGAGCATTGAATTAGCAGGCTAATACCGTTGTGTTGGCACATCAAGAGATGGCAGGGGAGAAGGATGCGTATACATATGCAGTGTTATGTAAAGGCGCTTAATGTTGCCCATATTTCCTAATGGACTTAATGAGTAGTAAGAAAGGACCGAAAATTTAACGGGAAGAATCTTTTTTATTTGAGCCATCTAAAGATAATGTAAGCCATCTGTCATGTTTTAAGAGGATGAGCCACTACCATCTGCAAGATAAGTCAATGGTATTCATCACTGTAGCATACTCCTTAAGAATCAAATCATGAGATTGGAGATTCAATAATCGGGGAGCCTTTGGGGCTCTAAATTCGTACTTGCATCCATGGCGTAAAAAGATCAGATCAATAAGACGTTTTAATTTGTATTATAGTCATTCTGGAGATGTTTAAAGATTTTTTTTGCCTTTGTTATTTTCATTTTAAATCTCAATATTAAAGGTGATTTTATTTCTAGTTATTTATACCCTTTTGTGCTTTATATTATGTAAATTATTTTTTTACATTCTTATTTCCTTTATCTTCTCCAGTTAATGCAAAACCAAGGTGAGGAAAGAATTCCCCTTTCTTAAATTCACTCTCATGACTAACAGCGTCCATTCCATTTCCGCGACTACTTTTGTCAGCCACTACGATGGGGAAAAGTCATTATTGGTAGTTTGTTCACCTTCATATTGATCTGGGCAGTGAGGCTGTTTTTAACGAATTCGACAAGAAGCAAACCGAACCAAACAATAGTTTGTTTGCTTTTCTCGTTAAAAAGTGCCTTATTTTTTCCGCGAGCCGCCACTGATAGGTTCTTTTAGATTTTGATTGAATTAATTTACCATTGCATATTTTGTTATAACGTTTAAATTGGTACACAGTTGTAATACCTTTGAGCGATAACTCTTTGCAATAATAACCGACATTAAGGTAAACCTTTACGCATAAGAATGAAAATAGAGGTTGCTGGGGTTATACACCGAGGTAAGTGTGGTCATTTAATTTGAGCCTTGTAGTAAAATAAAAAAAAGAAAGGTATTAAAGAGTATTTGAACAAAGACTGCCCAAAGCCTCCCCTTCCATGAAAACAGTGTAAGGACAGACTGTTTCAATTGTTTCAGGGTGAGTGTGCTCACAAGATTAATAAATCAGTTATTTGCTCTCCGTGTCTAAGGTTATCAAATTGATGAATATTCTCCTTGTGGATCACGGGAGAAAACCAGGCAACCCTAGCTCACAAAAGCTATAAGGCACATTGGTCATTTGTTCTCCGGCCTTTCCACATAAGTTTGATTGGGCCCCGACCTATGAGTGAAAGAAGAAATCAGTATATTCTCTTGGTAAGAAGCAAGATAACCACATGGATTCGCATTTTTATTTGCTTCAGATCTTTTCTGAGTGACTGAGTACCTAGTTTAGATAAAGATATTGGCAACGATAAAGCTTTCTACAGTAAAACAGTGTCCATCTAAATTACCTTTGATAAATACTTTCGTGTTGATGTCACTTTTTCGGGCAAATTCATACTGCTTCGTCTCACTTCCCATAATCTGCCTTCTTTCCTGTCCTCTTCCAATACAGTGTTGTCATTAACCCATTCCCGCCGGGCATGCCATGCCATGGCCACTGTGAGATTACTTGTTAGATTGTTTTCACACATAGATGGCTACACTTGTACTAAATCACCAATGAGCCAGTTACGAGTACCGCCTGTCTCGCCCGTTCACCCTTTTCTTTGATTTACGAAATATTTTACGGTTAAAAATGTTAAAAAACATTATAAAAATTACAATGTTTATGATAAAAATAACACCATCGATATTCATAGCACTAGTGAAAAATACGTGTTACAAATCAGGCGCTAACAGAGCCATCCATGGGCAGACATTTAACAAAAAAGTATAGAAAATAGGCACAGCATTTTCCCCATTTTTTGTTCATTTTCCCCAGCGGCAATGGGTTAATAACTTTAGTGAATGTGTGATACTGAAAAATCTGTCTTGTCATTTTCTCAGCAATCCAGAGGATCCTAGTTTTTAATCATAATACATTTTAATCCTAAGCATCTTTATAATTAACATAGCAAATATCATTCCTATGACTGTACCAACTTCTATGCTATTTCCCTTGAAACTTGTTCCTTTGGCTTCAATTAATTTCATATTTGTATATATTGCAATATCCCCCCCAAATCGTCACTGACGTAAGTTAGGAAATATTCAACTGGTTTCAGCAGTAGGGGTGAGCTATTAATGGCAGGTGACACTTAGCATCTACTTCCCTAAAAAAATACAAAAATGTCGGAAACACTTTGGTTATCGTATCAGTATTGGTATCGCCGTTAATGAACAACATATATTAAAGTATTTAACAAAAAGTAGACGAAATTCCAGTCTTACAAGTCCCGACAGTACTTATACTTTATTTGACTTCTCTCATTTTACTTCAGCATTTGAACTTTTCAAGTACTAAGCATGAAAGTTCAATAAAAGAAGCATATTTAACTTCAGCACAAGCTGTATGATTTCAGTTTTTGTGGCATAATTATTGAGCTAATGTCAATTCCATTGCCTTCTCTGTAAGATATTTTTTAGCGGTATATACACTGAATAAGCACATTATAAAGAGAAGTATATATGTTTTATTTGACCTGCAGTATTTAAGAATGCAGTAACAAATTTTCTCTTCAATAAGTGGAAAATCAAGCTTACAGAGGAAAACATTAATATAAAAAACAAATACCTTTTCATTGCATTTTTATTGATTTTTCATGGTTTGCTAACAAAGTTACTTTTTATCCTTCTATAAATTTCTTATTCGAACAAAGTATATTGAAGAAAAAAATGTAGGACAAACACCCGCATAAGTTTCCTTTGAATTAATACGGTACAAACATCCCATAGTTTTATGTGGTTAAAACAGGATATGCTTTATAGCACGGAGGCCTATTTTCATAATCAGCGGACAGCCGTGAAGACGTAACCATATTTGGGACTGTTGGCAGCATTATACTGGTGAAGGAGAACGTCGCCTATGACCTGCGATGTGTGACTGCCAGCCGTTGCTGAGGACCCTGCAGTTTTCGTTGTTGTTAGAGGACTGGCAGCTTGGGCAGCTGTAACAGTGCTTGGTCTCGAAGGTGACGAATACGCGGGTGAAACGGTTGCTACAGGTGTTGCGTCTCCTGCAGCTGCTTTGGGCAAAAATCCAGTTTTTCTTCCTGCTTCAAAGCTAACAGTATGTTCTTTTCCATCTTCATCTACATACGTATAGCTTCCGACAATGTTGCCATCAGCATCAGCTTCCTCAGTCCGTGAATAACTATCAGAATCAAAGGCAAACTTGTAAGAAGCATCTGCTTGAGTATCTGCAATGTCGCTCCCCTCTCCAGACTTCAGCAGAGGTGAGACTCCTGCTAGAGCATTGGCTTCTTCTTCAGAAAGAACAGGAAGAATGCGTCCAGTTGGAATTCCAGTCTCTGCACCTGGAACAGGTGGTCCTTGAGGAAGAGAGTCTCCTTCAGCAATGTAACCGGTGTCAGCTCCAGCAACATACTGAATTTCCCTATTTACATTATCATCAGCAATAAAGGAATACCTTCCCCTGACGTTGTTGAGAGCATCTGCACTTTCATGTCGTGAGCTACTCTGAGTCTCATAGGAGAAAGAGTAGCTTCCATCATCAAGAGCAGAGCTTCGTACTTGAGCTTCCTCAACTGGTGCTGCTGGGGCAACGGGTCGTGAAGGGGCAGCAGATCGTGAAGGAGCAGGATCAACATAGGCTGTAGCTGCACTCTTGGTTGACACAACACTTGGGCTGGAAGACTGAATTCGAGAGCCAAAATCAGCATCTGGAGCAACAGGTAAGTGGTCACCTTCAGCAACAAAACCGGTAGCAGATCCAGCAACATAGTTCACAGTCCTTCTAATTCCATCATCAGCATCAAAGCTGAAAGTTCCCTGTACGTTAAGGTTGGGATCAGCACTTTCGGATCGTGAGCTCTGACCAGCATCATAACTGAAAGAGTAAGATGCATCCCTTGTAGCAGAGTCACTTGGGGAACTGTAGGTAGCACCAGTCAAAGGGCTAGCACCTGCAGAACCAGAAGTGGCAGCGGCAAGCTCAGTTAGCCTCTTCTTCAGACAGAACAGGAAGAATGCGTCCAGTTGGAATGCCAGTCTCTGCACCTGGAACAGGTGGTCCTTGAGGAAGAGAGTCTCCTTCAGCAATGTAACCGGTGTCAGCTCCAGCAACATACTGGATTTGCCTATTTATGTCATCATCAGCAATAAAGGAATACCTTCCCTTGACATTGTTGAGAACGTCTGCTGTTTCGTGACGTGAGCTTCTCTGAGTCTCGTAGGAGAAAGAGTAGCTTCCATCGCCAAGAGCAGAGCTTCTCACTTGAGCTTCTTCAAGCGGTGCTGATACGGCTACAGGCTGTGAAGAAGCACCTGGTTGGGAGGAGACTGAAGACTGCGAAGGAACGTTAGGAGCATCGTAAGTGGAAGCTTTATTTTTGGTCGAGGCGAAAGGAGTGTCAGCGATTGGGGCAACTGGCAGATGAGATCCACTGGCAAGGAAGCCTTGGTCATTAGCTGTATAATCCAACTTTATGTCTGCCCCGGATGCATCCTTGTATCCAAACGAGCCAGATACGTCCCCGGGAGCATTTGCCATCGCAGACTCGTAGGCTCCGTCACCAGTGTCGTAGCCATACTTGAAGGTCCCATCGTCGTGGAGAACATAGTATTGTGACCTAGCACCGAGGCCTACGGTCGGAATGTTGTACTCGGCATCAGGACGTGGAAAACTCAGCGTGCTAACCACCGCCACGGACAACACGGTCTGAAAGGAAAGCGAATCTTCATGTATTTTTGTAGGCGGGAACATTTGTATTACGAAGCAATTGATCTTATCACTATGTCAAATACTTGCACATTTACACTTGAAAATCTACATATTGTGTTTATGAATCTTATACAAAATCTTTGTTTTAAGCCCGTGCTTCCCCAGTTTGGATTCCCTCAACATCGACTGTAATCCAGCTCGGGGCCAACCACGCACCCAATGATCCATGACGATGACATAGAGTATAAGGCCGTAGCAAAAGAGACATATACACATATATGTGTGTACACATGTAATATGTTATATATATCATAAAAAATACACATGTATATATACATATATATATACATGCACATATATACTTGTATATATATATACATATAAATAAACACAAACATATGTGTATATATAATATATATACATATATATATATATCCTATACATATATATGTGTGTGTTTACTCACACTCATATATGAATATATATACACACATGCATATGATTATATATATGCATATACATATATAAATATATATGAATAAGTACATATATCTAAATATATGTCTTTGTTGTGTGTGCATGTATGTATGTATATGTATAAATATACAAATATCCATTCATATACACCTACAGTATACATATTTATTTATAAACACACACGTACAGATATATGCATAAATATATTTACACATATATGTATATATACACACATACATATAATTATACACACATATATATGTGTGTATATGTATACATATACATATATAAATATAAATTTATATATACATATAAATATGTATATGTGGTGTGTGCGTGTATGCATATGTATAGATATACATTTATCCATTCATATACACCTACAGTATACATACATATTTATTTATACTTATACCCACATATAGAAATATATGACCTCGAATCACATATATATGTTGCTGATTTATAGAACATGTAAAAGAGGTAAATTATTTAAATCACTTCACAGCCTATATACGACCTCCGTCAGAGCACAAGTCTTACACCAAATTCCCATTGACTTGCAGATCAGCATTTGATCAAATCATCAATTTTCAATGGTGTAGTGTTAACGCTGCCTCCTGTCCACCTGTTATATTAGACAGCGATTATACTCACTAAGCTAATCCACGTCCTCATGTTAACGGCGGAGGAGGTGGGATGCCTGTGTCGAGTACTCTCTTAGGCTGACTTATATACCGAGCTGCATGTGTGCGTCGGTTCGTACGTGCAATGAAGATGACCATCGGAGGCAGTTTGCTCCGACGCCCACGAGGCTTTGCTCTCGTTTTCTTTCGCTGTGAAGATTTTATTGACCCAAATAATCGTATACTGTGTTTGAAGATTTTGTTTTACAGTGCTGAAATATTCCGAGTAACTGCGACCTATCATATGTATGCACGCACATTAACATATATATACCCATATACATACATAAATATATATACATACCTTAACTTATATATTTATTTGCATGTATATATATCAATATATATAAAATGTATGAGTATATGACTATATATACACATGGATGCATATTTTTTTAGGACTGTGTATATTCATATATATATATATATATATATATATATATATATATATATATATATATATATATGTATATGTATGTATATGTCTATATATGTATATATCGTATATACATGTATACACAGACAAATGTATATATATATAAATATATATATCTGTGAGTGTATACACAAACACATGTATATATATACTGTATATGCGCGCGTGTGTGTGCTTGAGCAGAGGGAGTGCAAAAGGTTCTCACCAGGAAAGGGGGGGGGGGGGCGTAATATGTAAACCATCAGGTACCGAAGTTGAGTGAAGTGGGGTGGGGGTCACTCAGTGGGCCTTTTCAGCGTCTCAGGCATTTCCGAGGTATTCTGGAACAAATGTAATTATTTTATATCTATTAACGGGGTCAACATATCAAGTCCGTGTTCTTGTAGTTTCTGTGACGAGAAAAGGCATATATATAGACATAAAAAAATTACAGGTAATAACATGTGCATGTAATTTCAGCCAATATTTTATTGCTAATATTAGCACAACAATAGTTACATAGACACAAATACTTATATACCCGATGTTACCTTTAGCTCTTACGAAAACGTGTTGTGTTGTGTTATACCTGGTTCTATAATTACCTCAAAGAGTCACATACAAGTGTGCGAGAATTTTTTGAAAAAAGGGCAATAAAAATGATTTAAAAGTGAAATGCACGTTAATAGACAGGACCAAAAAGACCTTTACAAAGCAATCTTATTAGAATAGCGAAAGGTAAGTTCCTTAATAGATTTTATTTCCCGGTCCGGAAGCGCTGATATGTATGGAAGAAAAGGGCAAAACGTACAGAGGGAAGCTCAGGCGAAGATAGGAAGGTCAATGATGAATGATGAATGGAAATATGCAATGCAGTGGACATCACGAACACGTAAAGCCATTAATGGCAAATAATCATTTATGCCTATACATAAACACACACCTATATATACATACATGTATACATTTATATATATATATATATATATATATATATATATATATATATATATATATATATATATATATATATGTATATATATACATATATACATATGCATATTTATGTATCCATACATATATACATATTATATGCATATATATATATATATATATATATATATATATATATATATATATATATATATGCATATATATATATATATATATATATATATATATATATATATATATATATATATATATATATATATATATATATATATATATATATATATATATATATATATATATATATATATATATATATATATATACATATATATATGTATATATACACATATATAAACCATATGTATAA